CCTGCCTTGCTCTTCATTCAAGGAAGTTATAACCTCCTGCTCCCTAGTTCAGCTTTACAGCCTTCATCAGGCTGAACCAAGAATAATCCAATCGATGTGTTCATCATGGACTCCAAAAAGGATATATTATTTAACATTTACTATGGGCCAGTCACTGTGCTTAGTATGACACTACCATTATCTCATTTACTCCACAGAGCTTCTCCATATCATTATACTTTTACCCTACAGATTAGGAAGTTGAAGTTTAAAAAGACTAGCCAAATTACAGAGCCAAAACTGACACCCATATCACCAGATGCTAGCACCTGGCTTCTACCAGCCATGCCATACTGTGAAATACTTTCTGCAAGACTCCGAGCCCTCACACTTTGGCCTAAACTGGTAATTCTTTGACACCTTTCCAAGCCTGTTAGAAAGGACTAGTACTTACCAGTTTTTCTGATTCCTGCTTTCCCATTTGCTTTTAGGCAAAGGCTAATTAAAATAAGCACTCATTTTCTTAACTCTTAAAATTTCTTCCTTTATAATCTTTGGCCACGTGTATAGGAAAAGTGAGGATTTTTAGTGATCCAAAGCATGAGCTATGGAATGAGTCACGCCTGGGTTAAATTCCTTGATTAGCAGCTGTGTATCCTTGGAAAGCTCATTGATTTGCTCATTCAAGAAATATGCGCTAGGCACTAACTAGGTTTCCAGCTTTTTACAATACAGATAGGATTGTTACCTTCATGGGGCCAACATTTTAAAATCTTCCCTATATTATAGTTTTCCCATCTGTAAAAATATATAATAATTGTAGTAAGTATATAAAGATTCTGTGTTGGTGATTTGTATAAAGCACTTACCGCAGTGCCTGGCAGTTTTGCCATAAAGTTTAGGTATGATGATCATGATCATGGTGGTGGTTGTGATGTTGATGAAATCACTCATTCCAACAATTTGAAACAAATAATGCATAAAGGTGATGAAACTTTTCTTGTCAAGACTATTATTACTCTATTGTTGGGGGGTGGGGAACGTTAGGGATTTCCAGTGCACATTTGGTATAGGACAGAAGTAGCAGATCCTTTCTTAGGCAAAGGACAAAGTACTTGAGATCATAAGCATTTCATGCCTTGGATTGCGCTATGTTCTAGAGTCTAGGCAAGAGATTTTGTTTTCTCTCACACCCTCTCTCGCTCAGAAACATGCACAGCTGCCAGGAAAGCAAACCTACTCTAGCCTGCTGGAGGATGAGACACATGGAGCCACCCACACCTGACTACAGATGCTTGAGTGAGTCCAGCTGAGCCCAGTCCAAATTTGTATTCACAGAATTAGGAACTGGATTAATGATTGTTATTAAAGCCACCAAATTTGAGAATGGTTTGTTATGCAGCAAAAGCCAATTAATGCAATGATATTTTTACTTGCACTGCCCTTTATATAAAACTATTTTATGGAAATCTTTATACATAGTTCAAACTTTCTAATTCCATTTCTTCAGTAAAGTCTACTCTAATAATTTCACATTTTTTTCTTTAAAAAGTAAGAACTTGCCTAGTAATGTTACACAGTTAGTAACTGGCAGAGCCAGGATTCAGACTCAAATAATGTAACTTTAGCACTCAGGCTCCTCACCTTGCACTATATTAAACTGAAAAATTGAGGATATCTTGTAACAACCAAAACATCAACAATAGGAATCCTTTCCTTCATTAAGTTTCTACTTTCTAAAACTATAAAAACAATGCACATTCATTACAGTATATGAAAATTCACACAATTTTAGAAAGCCATTAACTCACTCTCAAGAGATAACTAATATTAACACATGGTATATATACATCCAGATTCTTTTCTAACCATGTAAATGTGCATATTTTCCATAAAAATCAGAGCATATGACACAAATTACTTTGTGATTTATTTCAGCAAACTACCAATTATTGCACATTTATATTGCTCCAGGGATTTAATGATTGTGAGGAACAGAAACATAATACTGTGTGTGTGTGTGTGTGTGTGTGTGTGTGTGTGTGTGTACGTACGCATGTTGGAGAGGAAAAGGTCAATGGTAAGAAAAGGATACAGAGAGTTTCAGGGACGCTTTTCTCTCTTTTTTGGCAGGATCAGTGGACATGCAGACTAAGTCACGTCCAAACTTCTCTCTTCTCCTTGTAGAAAAGAGGTTTTCTTAGCACATGCTTTACTTTGACTTGACAGGGTTTTTTTGTGAGACACCGATCACCAATGCCTGACTTCCTGTGCCACTTTGATCAAATTTTAGGCAAAAAGAAAATGGTATGGTTCAACTACAGGCCCTTGATCAAGTAAACTTTGTGAATTTGTGTGCGGTGGGAGATAGGTGGGAGGAATCTCACTGTACTTCTTTTCTTCTTCTCTGGGTAATAGGTGAAACAGGTTAATTTGGTAAAGTAACTCCATAGCAGTGAACATTTACATGTAGGCTAAATCACCTTTTCACGCTTCCAAATCATGCAGATCATGGGTAACAGCTAACAATCAAGCCAGAACTTTAAAAAACTAAAAAAGTAGAAAACAATTTTCAAAATCAAACAAGCAAATCTCTTATGAGCACACAAAGGGTCATAAAACTATCCCATATTTAAAATTTGTGAAAAATAATTTCTGGTGTAGTTGATTTCAGGTAAGTTCATTGTGACTAAATTGTCCTGATGTCCAGCTTGTTTTGACTAAATTGCTCTGGACAAATTGTTTTCATTCAATTCACCTGCAGACAATCTACATGCACCTTGACTGCAGGGAGAAGTTTTGATTAAGTGGTCTGGAGACGCTGTTAAAGCATAAGATTTTATTTTTTTTTTTTTTAAAATTTTTTTTTTTTTACTTACTTATGACAGTCACAGAGAGAGAGAGGCAGAGACATAGGCAGAGGGAGAAGCAGGCTCCATGCACCGGGAGCCCGACATGGGATTCGATCCTGGGTCCCCAGGATCGCGCCCTGGGCCAAAGGCAGGCGCCAAACCGCTGCGCCACCCAGGGATCCCTTTTTTTTTTTTTTTTTAAATTTTTTTAAAGCATAAGATTTTAAAGCTCTTCAGGTGATTTTGATATTTAGCCAAAGCTGAGAACACTAAACAAAGGGGTCCTGCATAGGACTGTTGCAGGACTTTGCAATCAAATCCAGGTAAAGGCTGTTACATTTCCTACTCATGGGCTCACATTTATCACTGGACTTTGGGAGCAGTTTCATCTCATTATCATCTTATGCTGAATTTGAAATCAAAGACTACTAGAGAAAATGTTTTTCACTTATCTTATTTGAACTTTCTTCCCATTGAGCAGAGTAGGTACGTTATTATAACAGGCAGAAAACAAGTTGGGAGAGGCTTAGAGACTTTCTTGCAATACCTTGGGGAGGTGGAGGTGTGTTAGAAGTTACCTCACTAACTGGTATGCATTTCTCTTGGCATTTATGCAGTGTAATCCTGTTGTGTGTTTATGTTTAGATTCTATTTCCCCATTAGACTTTGAGCTTTTTATAGCCTGTTATTTCATTCATTCATTCATTCATTCATTCATTCATTCAATTCCCATGCATTGGCTGTTTTGTTTTGAATCATAGGGTGTTGCAGTGGTGAAAAAGACAGTTATCCTGCTCCCTGCCTTAGTGAGCTTGGAGTCTAAGAAGGAACAGGGAGACAAATAGGCAAATGATATAAAATTAACATAAAAACAAGGGCTTGATGGTGGTAATTCACCAAAATGGGGGAGACTAATTAATCCCCCATCTTGGATTAGATGGGGGCGCGGATGTGGAGGGGGGTGGTAGTAAACTGCAAAAGAAGAGAATGCCAAATCTAAAATTTGACACATGAGTCGTGTTCTCCTATGAGAGAAGTTAACTATTTTCCCAGGGAGCAGAAAGTGATGGAAAAGAGAGGGAGCAAGGTGAAAGGGAATCAGTGAACTCGGGTGGTGGCTAGCAGAAAAGGTAAAGTGGGGATTGTGATAAATGGGACTCCGGGGCTGGCAGCAGATCCCTATATGGTCTTGTAAGTTACTTAGCCCTATTAAGGAGTCTGTGTTACCCTGAGAAAACTGGGGCGCCCATGGGAACAAGTCATGGTTCTATTTGTGTTTGGGAGAAGGGGCTCCCGAGGGTCCTGTTGACCATCAGGGCTAAGCTTCCACAGGCACTTCTGCGGTTTGGGAAGTGAGGGCAGACAGAAGTATCCCCAGTAGACCGACGTTTCCGCCGTGGACCCCACAAGCCGTGGGGCCGACTCGATATTTGAGGGTACAAGAGAGGCTCTGAGGGGACCAGCTGAGCTGAGCCATTTGGAAAGTGGTAGGATCTCTTGAGTTAGTTGTTACAGGCTGAGCAGAGAATCCAGACGGGAGAGAGAGATGATGGGTTGATGATGGGTTGATGTCTCGCAGTTGAGGCATCTGGGCTGCATTTTAGGATTGGATTCCCTGCAGAAAATACATGCCCTAAAATTTTAAAGTTTATTATTTGTATTGTCCACGCTGGCAAAATTTACCAAACCACGTTATTACTGGAAACTATCAAGGTGCGAACCCCTATTAAGTCTACATATTAAATCCAAAAAGGACGTTAGGGGGATCCCTGGGTGGCTCAGCGGTTTGGCGCCTGCGTTTGGCCCAGGGCGTGATCCTGGAGACCTGGGATCGAGTCCCGCGTCGGGCTCCCTGCATGGAGCCTGCTTCTCCATCTGCCTGTGTCTCTCATGAATGAGTAAATAAATAAAATCTTAAAAAAAAAGGACGTTAGCGGACCTAAAGGTCTGGCCGCCCCGAGGGGAGAGAGGAGGTGGTGGCCGGTCCTGTAGCACGCTCCGGGCTCTCAGCTCCTGCGGCCGTCCCGCAGGCGGGAAAGTGGCTGCCCTCTGCTGGTCACAAGCGCGTAATGCAACTCAAGGAGAGCAATTTCCTAGGGGCGGGCCAGCCGGTGGATGACGTAGAAGCCGGGCGCCCGGAGATAGGCGGCAGTGCGTGCGTCAGCCGTGGGCGCCGCGGGAAAGCTTGACGAAGCGCATGGCTGCGGGTTGCTGCGAGTCTCCGCCGCCTAAGGCGGCCTCCGAGGGGCCGGCCGGCGTGTTGCCTTGCCTAGAGCTTCCGACCTACGCCGCGGCTTGTGCGCTGGTGAGTAGCCGTTACTCCTGCCTGGTGGCGGGGCCGCACCGAAGACACGTCGCACTTTCGCCGCGCTACCTTAACCGGAAACGCACCGGTATCCGGGAACAGCTGGACGCGGAGCTGCTGCGCTATTCCGAAAGGTACCGGCCCCTTAGGCCCTTCCCGCGTGCGCCGGCGCTCGGGCGGGGGTAGCAAGAGAGGGGTGAGTGGGAAGGATCGGCCTGGACGCCCTCGGGACTCTTCTTCGGGCCCGGAAGGCCGGAACCTGCCTAGTCGGGATCTGCACGGTCCACGTAATAGGCAGGAAGGGAGACGCAAAGGCGGCGTGAACTGTGCCGGGGGACGGGTAGAGAAGCTTGTTCTGTGGCGTTCAGGGGGAAGAATAGACCAGGGGCCTAGAAACACGGCAGGCCCGGGTACCCCCCCCCCCACACACACACACAGACGCAGAGGGAGAAGCAGGCTCCAAGCGGGGAGCCCGACGTGGGGCTCGATCCCGGGTCTCCAGGGTCACGCCCCGGGCTGCGGGCGGCGCTAAACCGCTGAGCCACACGGGCTGCCCGAGAGATTCTGTTGTTTATTTTGCTCGGGTACTTCTGCTGGGTTCTCTTGTTTGGGACCTCATCAGGGACGAGAAGAGTACTGTTTTACTTTTTTTTTTTTTTTAATTTATTTATTCATGATAGAGAGGCAGAGGGAGAAGCAGGCTCCACGCAGGGAGCCCGACGCGGGACTCGATCCCGGGTCTCCAGGATCCCGCCCTGGGCTGAAGGCGGGCGCCAAACCGCTGCGCCACCCAGGGATCCCCCCCTTTGTTTTGTTTTTAAGAGCAGTTTAATTAATCTAACTGGGCAGTCTGTTGGGCTTGAGGGTGAAAAAACTTTGTGGTTCGTTTAATGTGTTCAGAAGAAACGGAGTTACAAGAACGGAGGGTCGAAGGAAGGGGGCATGTGTACTTTAATATTGCGATAGGGCTGCTTTGCCTCAAAAGCAAAGGTTCCGGAGCCGGGACAAGTGGAATTCCTAGGGACTCCTTACTGCACTTCAGAAATTTGATGACATCCTCCCCCCCACCCCCACCCCCACCCCTCCGGGAAATTTGCTGTCCGTGTTCTCGGTCAAAGTATCCAAAGTGTTCCCTTTCTCCAGGGATCCTGAACAGGTTAAGAAGCAAGCAAGTCTAGGATGTACGGCTCATTCCAAGCACCAGCACACTGGTGTGGTGGCTGTTTTATGTACTAGGGACTTGGGATTTAAAAACAAAGAAAAAACAAGATCCCTGTTTCAAGAAACTGTAAGCTCTAGTAAAGATATAAATGTCAGATAAATCGAATGAAATGTTAAAATTTGACAGAGGTCTAAAGTTATATTAAGAGAAAGAGTAGTGAATTTGATATTAGGACCTCTGAGATGGTAGTATTCAAGGCATAAAAAGTGTGACGTAAGCGGATAGTAGATAAAAATAGACTGCTTTGGTCAGAGAATTGTAAGTACTATATAATTGGAGTAAGATTTATGTTAGAGGAAAGAAATTGTGTGCAGTTGAAGAGAGCAGAGGCAGCGTGGGGGATCACTCAGGATGTACATTTTGCTCTTTCCTATCTACTAGGGTTTTTTTTTTTTTTTTTCCCTCATTGCTTAAGCAGGCTTGGCGCTTCATCCTCCCAGTGCCCTCCAGCTCTGAAATTTGGTGCACTCTGGAGAGAGTAGTGCATATCTGATCTCTGGGAGATGATCAGATACACAGTTGAAGAAGAAACCACGCTTGATAGCATTAGCTGATGGCTTAAGGAGAGTGAGGCTGTAGACATGGAGACCAATTAAGAGATGGTTACAACTGTCCAAGAGAAAATGACTAGAGAGTATGGAATTGAGAGTTATTAAGGATATAAAAGTGGTCATAAAATCTGGGAAGAGACATTGTTTGATATACTTACTACTTTCTGGAACCAATCAGTGCTTCCACTTGACAGGCTAGGAGGAAGCCACCTGAAGTATCCCAAGTCCGAGCCATTACCCTAGAGATGTAAGGAACCCATTGAACAATAATATCTAATGGAACGGGACAGTGTGGCCTTATGGAGCAGGTTGCGCTCTGAACTAATGAGGACTGCCCACCACACCCTCCCCTCCCCCACCCCCAGTACCACCCTGGGTAGTGGGGTACCCCAGTGTGATAAAGACTCGGACTTACTCAGGGCAAATAAAGCAGCACACATTGAACTATACATTTCTAGTTAGGGACGAAACCTTGAACTGTAATGCCAATCATTTGTCGTGTATAGGTAGATTTCCAGACTTTGGCGCCATCAGGAGGAATCAGGAAGACTTGTTTCACTTTGTTTGAGAAATGAGGAAAATTGAGTGTTGGGAAGTGGAGGAGGGACAATAAAGTATCCCCCAAACTGAGAAGGCACTTTGAGATTTGAAAATGAAGTAGGTGACTCCATACATTTTACACATCCTTCGATTCTGGGTAATTTACTGACATAGGGGACTGGACATGTGATTATCCTGCAGCTGCACAGCTATTCTCCACAAAGTTTGGACCATAGTTCACATTTATAGAGTACAAAGGGGTGTGCAGAGGGCATTTTGGTTAGGTCAGAGGTCTAACACTTAACAGACTTTGTGGTGCCACGTGTGCTCCAGAAGAGGGGGAGGAAAGTGTGTTACCTATAGTAGTTATCTAAACAACTTTAGGGAAGATCAGGACAACTTCTTGTATTCTGGTCAGGGCATATGTTAACTCCAAGGGGCCTGAAACCTGTGGCCCTGAGGGAGGTCATCACCCGGACATGAACAAGCTGGAGGGCCAAACATGGGGTCAGTATTGTCAGCATTCATATACATTGATGGCTCCTACAGTGTTTACATGCCATTCTTCTCTGATGACCCTAGAGTCAGATATTGGGAACTGGGTTGCATGCCTATGTCATGGCAGTAATGTAAACAGAAACATGAGGTTAAGATTCGTATAAGACCAAAGAAAATACTTAGTAGTTCCTTAGTGACGGTCAAGAGGTGAGTCATAAGTGAAGGCACCAGCAAAAGCTATCAAAGCAATTGTGAATTTCAGCATAAGTGGTGGCCCACAACGGGGAGAGCTTCCTGAGGCAAGAAGGAAGGACATCAGCAATGCAAGGCTGGGGCAATAAGACAATGTTTGACAGCAGTAGACAAGGCAAATCATTTGGCAACGACACAGTAGGTGTTTGGTCTCCGTGCCACTGTGGCTTTTCATCATTCCCCGTTCTGAGTGACAGGAATGTTTCCAGCTACTTCCTGATGAAAAGGGGGGCATAAATCAGGATTGAGGAATGAAACTGCCTTGCATCCAGTTGCAGATATCCCCTTAATACGAGGTTGAGCCCCCATCCTTCATAGAGGCATTTTTTTGGAACCGTAATGTGTAGTCTTAGCATCTTATGCCACTTTTCATAATGAGGTAAAATCATGTCAGTTCAGTTAAACAGTTGTATCATTTCAGGAGGTGGTCCTGCCAGATGGGTTTTCAAAGTCCACCTATAGTGTATAACTAGTCCAATAGAAATCCAGATATTCAAGGAAACCAGAAGAATTCAGACTCTGACCCAGTGTTATAGGTAAACAAAAAACATTTGAGGACAATTAGAACTAGAATCTAACACCCGTAAAGATATGTTACTGAAATATGATTTTTTTCTTTGCAAAATCCCCCTCATTTCCATCAGCAATAGTCAAGACTAATTTGTTTGTAAAACAAGTCCATTTTTTAACAAATTCGGCCTAAATAATTATGTAAGTACAACTGGCCACATATGTTCTTTCAGCTCTGTTTTGCTGGAACATTGCATAAAGAATTTCACATTGAGCTTTTAATAGCCATTCAAGGCTAAAAGCCAAGCCAAATACTTGCCATCAGACTTTCTTTCAGTACCCAAAGATCTGATTATTTCCTCACTTCTTGGGGTACCTCAAATATCCTGAGGTTCTTGATCCTGTCAGAAAGCAACCTTCCTTGCTTACGTGGTAAGGCTCTTGGGAACCCTGTAAGCAAGGTACCAGCTGTGCCACTTATTCCAGGGGGGCTTCATTGGCTCCATAGAGTCAATCTTAGTTCCTTAAAACTGGCTATATCTGAGTCTCTATGCTTGTCTTTCTCAAATACGACATTCCAGTCAAAGCCTTAGTAATTGAACTAATTTTCCTAATGGTGACCTATTACAAGAAGGGATTCTTAGTGAATTTTTGCAAGTAACTATAATTGCCATGAAGGTAAAAATACTCAGATCACTTCTTGAATTCTGGAGGGATCAGGCAGGGAAAAAAAGATAAATGTTTTCTTAAATCCTGAAGAGCAAACATTAGAGAACCAGTAATGTTTCAAACAAGAATCATAAAAACTGTAATCATCCTCAGTTAATTCAGTCTTCTGTTACTGATTCTTTTTTTTTTTTTTTCTAATTCTTTTTTTAGTTTGAATACAGTTTTCCCATTATTCCCAGAAATTTTTATTTGGCTTAGTTTTATGATCTAAAAGGTATCAGAAACCTGTGGTTGTCAAGTCTTCCCTGTGATTCTCCTTGAAGATGAAACATATTTGTAAGAGCATTAGAACAATAACTGTGACAAAAGACTTAAAGGCCACAGTTAAAGATCATATGAGATTTCATTATAGTGCAGTTGACAAGGAAATCTGGTTATTTCTGTGATAGTACTTCAATAATTAGAATTACAAATAATGATGTTATACCAGGATACTGAACTTTTAGGAATTTCATAGTATTCACCCATGCAATATAACCTAAAAAGATTTATCATCACCTATCTCACAGTGCTTCCCATGTAATTTAGCATACCAAATCAATAAGCCTTACTAGTTAAAAAGACTTTACTTAGAATTTGAATTTTTGTAAATTTGTTAAAAATACCAGGTATGTATGTATGTATGTATGTATTTATTTATTTATTTATTTATTTATTTATTTTTATTTTTTTAAATACCCGGTTTTAAAGCTCATACCTAGGGGCGCCTAAGTGGCTCAGTGGGTTAAGTGTCTACCTTCAGTGTTGATCCTAGGGTCCTGGGATTGAGCCCTACAAGGGGCTCCCTGCTCAGTGGGGAGTCTGCCTCTCCCTCTGCTCCTCTCCCTCCTCA